TTCCGTGCTTTCCTAGAAGACACGGTCGATGTCGAGTTGACGCCATCAATGGGCCCTAGTGGGGAGGGCCGCCATCGTTGCTACGTGCAAGGATGGTCGATGAATATCGAGTGCTAGGTGCTCGACTATGACATAGGATGGCCTCGCGCAGTCTTGAGTTGGCGTTGCCACGCGACATGTGATAACCACTGTGTGTATGAAGTGAAGCTCTTCCACGTCTCGAAAAAAGTACTGCTCGCTAACAAGTTTGGTTTCAATAATTTGGGTCTTGTAAAGGATTTTTGCGCCTTCCAGTACCATCATGATCTTCTACGAGAACGACGTAGGAGTCTTCAGCCTCATATTTCGGACGAGAGGATCGAATTACGCGTCAGTGAGTACCCCTTCAGTCTGGAAACGACGAATCCACCCTTCGCCGTTCAGATGGCCCCATACGCAGCGATAGGCCTTGGAATAGGATTCGTAAGCTCAGCAATTACGGTGATTCTACGTTTCTACCGTGTCCCAGGCATTCCTGTTCGCTCGAGAAAATCTGGAAGTCGTGGCCAACCAGCTCGAGCACCCCTTCGCTCTGCAAATCTACACTTATGTGACCCGCAAGGTGCATCAGCTGCAGTCGAAAAGTGAAGTCAGATATTCGGTTTTGTGGTGGTGTTTCGGACTAAAATGGCCTACGACCGCTACTGGGAGGCGATGACTAACTTGTCGCTGATGGTGTCCAAGTGGGGCGATGCCTTCATGCAAGTGAGGTCTCCGTTACGTGCCGATGCGCTACTGGAATCGAAAACGGAAATTCATTTTCTTCACTTTCGCAAAGTCGAGATTCTCGACTTTGCGAAAGTGAAGAAAATGATGAAAGTCGATTCTCGACTCGAGAATCGTCGAGTGCTTCGCAGTTAGTGGCCTTCTCGAACGCCACCATTGAGGGAGCGGATGTCGCCAGCAGACCAGCGGTAGCGGAAGACCTCTACAAGTTCCAGAGGGAGTAAGTTACTCCAAGTAACCCGAGTGTCTCACGAGCGCGTCGTACCGAATTCGCTGTAGTTTGATTCACCTGTTCTCTCTGATGAGCGCCCTGGCCATGCGCACCCTCGCCGACCCACACAACGAGACTGCTGGCGCAGGGCTGACGAAAATCTTCAGGTCAGTTTCGTTGCCCACGACTGTCGAAGTCTCCATCTTTTTCTGAGCTCCTTGTGCGTAGATTTATCAAGCCCGGCGCGGAGATGCCGACAACGGAGGTGAAGTCGTTGAAGAGAAGTACGCGTTTTAGTTCTCGAGCGCATCACAGCGCCAACATTTCAACTCCTTTCCCACTAAGTCTGTTCACGCGCTCTTGCTGATGCCTGTTTACGAAGAGACATCAGAAACGAAGATCTCTGCTCTTTCCTTTCGCTGGAAAGGAGACAGAAGAAACCTCTACCATTCTGAAGGGTCGACCAGCAGGAGTGTCTTGACTCAGGCGAGAATAGAAAACCTGAAGTGCAGCGTCTGCGCAACTCAGTGAAGAGCGTGGCACAGGCCTTCTCCCCTGATGGAATAATAACCAAGGTGTTTGGAGAAGAACAGAAGTTTTTTGTGAGTTTCGCAACCCGCCAGTTCTCAAAGCAATCACGATCGACACGTGCTTCGCAATGGATTTCCCATCGCTGATGACACTGATCTTGTAGGTTATTGGACGACTGAGCAAGTGGGAAGAGGGGCACTTGAACGGCCAAGACGACGTCTTAGTCGTGTCTCAATGGATTGTAGAACTGATGTTATCACAGAACTTGCACGGCCGCCTTAACGTCCACGGCGCCATACAGAGCCGCGTGTACGCTTGAGGTTCACTACTCGAACTCACGTCTCTGATGCCTGAGTACGCTCAGTATGTCAAGTCGATCAGCAGGAATCTCGAATTTGCAAGCAAAAGTGAGAGTAATGTTTCTATCTCCAGAAATGAGAATGATCTTAGAAATTCCAGAATGTATTCTCTTCAATCCCTGGGCATCTTGCCCTGAGGGTTTCGAGACACAGCCAGTGTCTCACAGGGATGATCGCTACCTTGATCTATGCCACCTTCCTTTCAGTGAGATTTAGCAGGTACCAAGAGATATCCAATGGCATGTTGGGGTACAACCAAGCATTGAAGATATCCAAGATACCATTCCCTTTCCCTTTTGCACAGATCATCGCCCTCATGAGCTTCGGGTTCCTCATAATTTCGCCCATCGCCATGATAACGACTACGAACTACTGGTCAGAATCGACTTTCCGTCAAGCTGGACAGCATGGCAGTGGTTCTCTCTGCCTTTTTTGGGAAAAACTTAGGAGTACAATGTGATTGCAATACCACAACTACGTATGCTAGTCTTTGAGTCTCCCGGGGAGATTTTGTGGTCGCTGGAGCGGCATAGATCATCTCACCCTCCCTCACGCCGTGGAGTCCACGGTCCAAAACCACGCAGTTCATCCGTGTCTGTCTTTCTTCAACCTCAGGTTCCTAGCCCCATTATTGGCCTGTGTCGGAGTCCTCGGGTAAACGCTGATGTGAAATGACTAGCTTGACGCCACCAGCTTCATGCCGGCATTTCAGGCATGATGGACTGAATCAAATATCGATTGAGTTGGAAGAGCCTTACGGAACAGATGCTAACGATTTGCCGATGAAAGAGATGCAATTCACCTTCGTAATTTGGCTCACGTTACCTGAGTCGCGCATCTTCCGACCGCTTTGAACCTCTGACTGCGGAGACGCACAATTTAGTATTTGAAATATTGTACTTCGTAGCTGTCCTAGAGCGATAGCCAAACTATCGAGACTAGTGATAGTCATGCGCACAAGAGCTTGTGAGTGCTTCATTGCTCGTGGCAAGAGCTGCTCGTGCTGTTTCGTCTCATCATCAGGGTATCGGACCGTGCCGTCTCGGCGCTCGCCGATTGCAGAAGTTCAATGCGGCCATGAGTTTCGTCGTAGGTGCATTCTCTCGAAGAGCTGCTGCGTTCGAGCGCGCCAGTCCGTTCACGGGAGCCTCGAAAAAGAAGCGAATTGGCGCAAAGTAGAACTCAGGTTCCTCTTAGACCGTCATGAACCTTATCAGCCTGACAATGCTGGCAGGTGCTGATCTAGATTACTGTGAGGACTTTGCTGAGCACGAGAAGGTGAAAATGGACTCGATGCCGAACAGGAGAGCGGTACTCTCTGTGAATGTGTGAGTTCGGGGTGTACGATCTCGTCGTAGTGGATTCTGTGAAATGAACGAGAGGTTGAGTGCATTTTGTAGTGTGCCCAGATCAGCCGGAATCGTTCGAAGTGCTGCTTCAGCAGGGGTCCATGCTGTGGTGTCCACGGTCGCAAGAATTGGTTCTACTCAGATTCCTCGCCTCTCGACGTTTCGTCGCTCCCTGTGAGGCCTTTCCCGAATGGTTTACGGACGATGACCTCGAGCATTTCAACCTGGGAGATTTCCGTTATAAATTTCGGATGCATACCTTCAAGGATCTGCCGATCATAGCGTGAGTCTGATCCGAGAAAACTGCTAAAATCTGGAATAACGCTGTGAAACATGGCTATTATTCGGTTGGGGATATGGTGGTTTCCTAAGCGAGTATCTAAGTACAGGGTGTCTGAGAATCTTTCCGCGGAAACTTTCGCGGAAATTTCGGAAATACTTTTCAGACACCCTGTCTAAGTAGGAATAGAAAGTTGGCAGTAAGGGTCAACACACCCGTGGATTCTGATGTGTTATTGAACATGCCGCTGAGCTGCTAGTGAATGAGAGGAGCTTTCGATGCCAGGTATCGCCGTTCTCGATTCGAGTTGTACAAGAAAGCTGCGCAGAGCAGCGTTCTTCGGATCTAACTCGAGGTCGATTCGCTCTGGGAGGATTCATCTGGGCGACTCAATTCCCGGCTCGGCTAGGCCAGCTGGGTTGAATACGTGTCCTTCATCGAGTGCGAACTAATTCAGGCTGTTAACACAGAGGCCATCCCATGACTATCATTGTGTTCGGCTGCATGTTCTCTTCCTCTTGTGGCACAAGCACTTGTGTTAACTTTGTTGCCAACAAGTTGTTGGCCATTACGAGACGACACGCCAATTGCAGAGCGCCTCGACAGTATAATTTTTCTCATCCACGAGTACTCTCGGAGTCATTGCAATATAGTCGAACACGGAGACTCAGAAAATCGGTTCCACTTAGCGCGAGAGTTGATACAGAGAGATAGGCTGGGATACCAGTGTAGCCGACACCTCGACGCATAGCGTGATGTGATGGCCTGAGATTTAGCACAATGTGGGGCGTGCACAGTACTTCCTTCGAGAAATCTTTCTGATTCTGAGATGCTGCCCGAAACTCAAGATTAATTTCCAGAGTTTCTGAGACCGAAAGTCAGAATCTGAGTGAGAGTGCTCACTCAAGTTGAGTGACTCAGCGTTGCTGAGGCGAAAAACGCCGGGCACAGTCGCACCGGACAGTGAGCTATTGGAATATTTCGAGCTTACAGTTGCATCGTATTCAAGTCGCAAGCTATTCTTGAAGTACCTGTTTGCCGCGTCCATGTCTCGGATCCTTCCTTTCGCCTGCGACGGAGTGACTCAGAGCCGAGACGCAGCCAACGATTCGTCGTATCTCTTCAAACACTGTACACGGCATAAAAGCTATCTATTAGAAGAATTGGGAGACAGTTTGGCCGAGTGGTCGAAGGCGCTAGTTTCAGGCGCTAGTCTGAAAGGGCGCGCGTTCGAATCTCGCAGCTGTTATGATGCACACAAGATCATTTATTGATCTGGAATATCGATACTGGCGAACTTTGTGAGGGTAGTGCTCCATGCTACAGCGTGAGTCGCATTTGTACTATGCTGATCAGAAAGAGTAGTTCTTGGTGTCGCTGTTGAAAATTCCATCGAATGCATGAGAACTCTGGGCCCGCATTGCTGCCTCAGCGAGTCGGGCTACAAGTACCAAGACTTGTTTTCACCCAAACAAAGAGTCTGTAGAGCACACGCAAATGCTATGAATTACAATTCGTGGCTTAATGGACAAGGCGTTTGTCTTCGGAACGAAAAATTGTGGGTTCGAGTTCCACCGAGATCGAATTTGGGTTTCACCGCTCTCGTCCCGTAATAGTCGAGAAGCTCACGGTCACGAATTCTTGCTGAATCCTGCTGCGAGATGAAACTTGCAATAGGATAGGGCTGAGCCGAGAATCGAACCCGGGACCTCGTGCACCCGAAGCACGAATCATACCACTAGACCACACAGCCACCTGATGCTAAAGCAAGTACGGCTTGCCGCAGGTAAGACTTGAGCGTTCTTGCTACACCACCTTCTCGCTCACCGTGGCAAGGCGAGGATTTCCGGACGGCGCGTCGTGCATCCATCAGCAACAAGCTGGGGACTCACTCTGTGGTCATGACCGCCATGTCGGCATTTCCGTGTGTCAAAACACACTGCCTTACAAATACGAGTCACTACCCGGACTTGAACCAGGGTGATCATGGCCACAACGTGACTTCCTAACCACTACACCATTTCCAGACCTACTTAGTAAAACCCCAGAGTAAATTAGTAAAACCCCAGAGCAATTTAATAAAGCCCAGGCCATATTTAGTAAAATCCCAGAGCAATTTAATAAAGCCCAGACCAAATTAGTAAAACCCCAAAGCAATTTAGTCGGCACGCGAGACGCATCCGGATCGTCCCTCCTTCCGGCCCGGGGACTCTGGCCCATGAAGTTCATGGCATGAATGGCGGGAGAGGCGGTGGAGCGAAGGCAGAGTACCTCCTGCCGTACTGTGAGAAGTTGCTTCAAAAACGGGTTGAAGAGGTTACTATGCAACTGCAACTTTGTATACAATTTTCAACTTTGCTCCAATCACACCCAAACATGGTACCCTTGTTGCTCAGCTATGTAAGGCACGCCAGTCGGAGGCTCAATTTGAATGTTTAACGATTAAACTTTAACCCGCGATCTGTAGAATAAGGAGGGCTTACTTAATGTAGGCTGACGTTGTGAGTTTTTCCGTACTTGTTAGTGATTTTGTTGGGCTCTACTAAATTGGTCTTTCATAAAATCAAATTGCTTTGGGGTTTTATTATTTTGCTCTGGGCTTTATTAAATTGCTCTGGGGTTTTACTAAGTAGGTCTGGAAATGGTGTAGACCACACAGCCACATTAATCTGTTACAGATGCGGCTTGCTGCAAGTGGGAGTCATGCCTTCTTGCTAGTAGCAAGTTGCGAACGGCTACTGCCCTATTGCGTAGAAGGTGAGAATTTCGGTACAGCGCGTCGTGTATCGATAAATCCTAAGCTGACTACTTCTGTTTTCATGATCGCCATGTCAACATCTGCGTGTGGTTCAAGTACAGTGCACTTCCCGGATCTAAATTGGAGTTGGCACTGCCACAACGTGACGTCCTGGACACTAAACAATAGCGACGCCGAGCGCCACTAGTTTGCGGCATAGACAATATGATGCTGCACCAAGATAAGAGCTTCGTTTCCGCAGAAACGCCTATTATCCTCTTGGATTCGTTGTGGCCGAAAACTTGTGGACGATTTTCTCAACCTGCTGAGCGGATTCAGCTGCTGAGTCCGCTCAGCAGATTGAGAAAATGAGCTTAGCTGCTCATACCAATTATGATCAGCCTTCACTGGGTCTTCGAAGAGATCACAGTTCCATGACGGGCAGCTAGTGATCACGATGGAAGCCCCATCGTGATCACTAGCTGCCCGCCTCGCACGACGGCTGCCTTCCCCGCCCATCACTCAAAATACGGCATATAACTGTTACGGCCTCGTATCTCGCTCGCCTAAAGTGGCGCAGCAAATGTGCAGATGATTTCCGAGCAACAACTTCATTTCCGGTGTCGACCCGGCGCTGTGGGAGTCTTCCAGCCCATGATTCAAAATTTTTAGCGGCCATCTTCCCATTCACGGGTCTGGAGCTGTCTCTTATGAGTTAGCCAGTGAGAATATGCCTTACAGTGATGGGGCGAGCCATTCTTGGCATATTCCATGTATCTACCCCTTAGGCAGACGAGAGTCCTGAGCGACCTCGGTGGTCATGCTAGTATCGCTAAGTGGACTGACACCCACCACAACCTGTCCCTGCATCATCTTAGCGCAGTCCCCAGGCTTCATTCCGATGTCTACCAAAAAGATCATCGTGGCAACAGCTGTTGCGATGGTGATGGCGTCAAACCCGGCTACTGCCGGCGCCGGAGCTCCCGCTGACGTAAGAATTGAAGGAAGAGCCTTCCCTAGTGCACTAAATCATCTGCGTGGCACTGAATGACCCTGTCATAGAGGTGCTACGCGGGAAACTTCTATGCTTCGGCATTCTCAGGACTTCCCTGAACTCACAGCGGCGAACGCCACGTGGTGTCGTTTCACAAATAAGGATCATTCTTCCGCCAGGAAAGCATTGAAGGTGTCGATTGATACTGCCCGACACAATCACCTGTGGACCGAATACATCACTTGCCCGAAGACCAAGAAGTATAAAACATTCAGTATCGAATTGTAAGGCACTGTGGGAATGCAATATAAGCTTGCCATCAGAACTTCTCTCGATGTCAGTTTGAACGGAGGACTGTATGCATACTACAAGCATGGCCATCCGCTTTGGGAGGATACACACAAGAAAGCTGCTAAATACAAGATATATGATGGCGATCAGTCGGACGATGCTCCCAAGAGAAAATGTACCAACATGGTTTCAACCATTTGTGCATGAGACCTACTCAGTTGACCCATAGCCGGTTTCCTTCTTTCAGGGTACCATAGGCTCTCGCGTCGCCGTGCGCCGGAAGGACCGATGATGCCTCGGCCATATTTGCACGATCCTGTCGGACATAGCTGGCCGGATGTAACACCCGTAGTTTCGAAACCTCAGCTTGTCAAGACTATTTTCTGGAACTCTTTCTTCTTCACTTTTTAGCCAGTCCCTCATGCAAAAGCCTCTGAAGACCCGCAGGAAGTTTGTTCGAGCGCGATGGACTCGCTGAAGAAGAGATTCGGCACATTTGCGAAAATGTGTAGCGAGTTCCGCGACCTGATCAGACGTGCCGAGATACCTCCAGAGCCAAGGGGTTACGATGAAGTCGGTTAAAAGAGGTGGTGTGTGAGCTGCTGATTCTTTTTATAAGTTATTATCCCCCCTGTTTGATGGATGGGTCCCACCGTCATTGATTTTATGATGGACATGGAGATGTTGCTGTCGTTATGTAAACTCACCAACTTGTTGTGTGCTGCAGTTCTCACTGGCCCATCACTGATAGTGATGCTGACATGCAGCAGCTAGATGCTTGGTGATACGGAATACGAACCTCTTATGCATCATAGGCACTCAGCAAGACTAGCGTGACTCGAAACAATCGCGCGATTAAACCGGACGACCAGGTTAAATTCGAAATTATTCTTTGAATGGCGAACTAAAACTCCGACTACGATTTCGCTGATGCGACGGCGCCCTTGACAGTGAGGAGCGACGAAAGAGAATGAGATCGAGGCAGAGGGGCGAGAACAACCCTGGATGGAGCGCCAAGGAAGGTGATCCTGGATGGAATCCCAATATACCCGACAAGGGAGGGATGGGCAGGATCGAAATAATATCGGATCTAGAGTCCGGAGAGACTCCAAAATTCACCTTAGTATCCTGAGGCTCATCCATGAAATCAACCGACGTGCACTATGGTGAAAACAGTTGTCAGACAACCGCATCCCTACTGTATACCCACCTTGGCTTTTGTGCGACTTTGTTGGTGGTACGTACGCTCGTCCCAGCGAACACCTGCGTTCCTCCTCATGCTATTGGACATACGTTCGCCTCATATCCTCAACGAGATCAGTTTTCTCCTACTTTGAGCCCCGTCCCGAAAAGTCCACACTGCACTGAGTTCGGGACGTGACACGAGAGGTGCACGCGTGTGCTTCGCGAGACGAGATCGCGCGTGACACCGATGAACGGAGTTTATCGAACTCGGGCTGATGTATATGAAGAGTCTCGCCTTAGAAATGATGGGAGTGACAAACCCGCACGAGCGTCTCCTTCAGAGTCCCTCGGAAGCATCTCGGAATCGGGATGCTCCTGAGATGTGATGCCGATGACTTGCCCGCCAGGAACTGGGGTGGCAGTAATGTTTGCTGTGATGATAGGCGCTTTTCAGCTTTCTGTTCATCCCACGCGATGAAGCTTCTCTTCTTTGTTCTGCTCATAGCTGCATCGAGCTCTGCAGAAGTTTACGACAGCAAGACTATCCTGTCGATCACCCTCGACGATGCTTTCGTCCACGTCCGGGACGTCCCGCAGCGTCTCGCCCCCAACCCTAAAATGGTGGCCTTCCTCAAGACAGCAACAATCGAGACTCTGAAGTACTCGGGCTTGCAGGTGGTTTCCACGTCCGACGACACGGTGAGCTCTGCCGATCTCTGTGCCTACCTGCAGGACGCAGCCTCCCGGCTACCTGGTCTGGAGTGTGAATGTTCCCCCAACTTCGCCACCAAGAAAGAGAGCATCGACGAGGATCTCGGAGTGAACGACCCTAAAGCTAAGTGGCAAAGGGCATTCAAGCAGATGAACATGAAGGAAGTGTGGAGACTGTCTGAGCGCTACGTGAGGCGGAACATCTACGTAGCCGTTATGGACACCGGCCTCGATTTCAGCGATCCCGAGATCGCCTCTTACCGGGGTTTCCGCCGTAAGGAGAGTGGCGGGTACATCTACGGTGGTTGGAACTTCGTGGACGACAACTCGAACTTAACGTCGGTTAATCAGCATGGTCAGATGGTTGCGAGAATTATTGCGGCCAGAAAGGACAATAACCACGATATGGTCGGCTTGTCATCTAATGTGCGTTTGGTGTCTCTGAAGGTCCTACCCGATACTGGTTCTGGTAGTACGTGGCACATGGCTAAAGCTATGGACATGGCAGTCGACATCGGAGTTGACATCGTGTCAATCTCAATGGGAGCATACACGACAAAGAGAAGCGGAGAGTGGGTCCTCGGCAAGCCCTTCAAAGCCGCTAGTGACCAGGGTATCATCATCGTCGGCGCCGCTGGTAACGATAAAATGCTAGCCGATACGCA